GGCTGGGTGGAATATAATTGCTATATATTCATTAACTTGGGCTCCCTGTATTTAATCTTACATTATTGTTATCGAAAAGGCTGCAAGGAACTATTTAGAAAATTAACTTTCCATTCCTTTTTAAAAATATGTTTTCCTCAAAAGATCATGTGGACAGAGGCACAGTCAAACAGCCCATTTCACCGAGTCTGCCACAGCAGGTTCAGAAACATCTTTGAAGCACACAATACGAGTCTTGATTCTGGTGGGTCGATATACTCTCTATGAGGCTGGCTTTCCCCTTAAGTTTGAATTCTACCATGGCTATAAGTCGAGGACAGAAGATCCAGAAGACGATTCCAAGGCAGGTGCTGATGACAATTAGGAATGGAATGTTTGGGTTTTCTAGACTACGAATATCAAAATTCTCCATTCTGGGAATTTTACCTCGTTTGCAGGCTCCTAAAAAAATACTTCGATTTGAGGCACCTGGAAGAAACACCTGAAGGAGAAGACTTCAAGGCTTTGCTAAGCCAAGCTCCACCCAAGTATCCTGCTTAGGCCTTTCTCCTCAGTGAGCCACATTTAGGTGCTTGTAAGGTGCCTGCAAGGTAGAACTCCCAGAATGGAGAATGATGGTATCTGTAGTGCAGACATTCCAAAAATCACACTGCTAACGAGGATTGGTCCTTAGGAAACAGTTCACGTAGAGCACTGGTTGGAACTTCCAAAGTAAGCAGCACCCATCTTGTTTACTGCATCCTTCACCAAGCCATGACCTCTTAGCTATGCTCCTGGCTTGCGTTCCCCACCCCCCCAGTCATAATGTAGGGAGAAATGGCTCTTTCTTTGCTTCCAGAGCAAAATCCTTTTCCTTTGTCAGTGCATAGCGGGAAGAACATAGCGACCTGAAGATGCAGGAAAAGATATCATAAACACGTTCCTCCTGGCAGATAATACAGGAATTTGTCGTTTTTAATTCATATGATAATCTTGAGAAATGTGGCTCTTTAATTCTACTTATCTGGTAATGCAAATTTTCCTGATGCTCTGAATGGACAGAATTTCAAATGCTATTCATTGTCAGGCTCTGATTTCCTATTGCTGACTTTTATTTAGTTTATTCATTGATAGGTAGAGAGATAGTGGGTTCTGATTCTTTTAGGCTGTAAAATTCGCAATAAGAGTGTAGGCAGTGTTCCAATGTTTTCTTTATTGAAAGCCATGACCTAGTCTGCGGTCTTCAATGGGAAACCAATATGGTGGGCCACATTCAAATTTACCAGTTTACAGAATTAAGCATTTCTTACTGCAGAACTAGAATTTCTGCAATTAATTGTTATTGATTGATATGTTCTCCTTGGTAGTGAATAACATGGAAATACCTTGACAAGTTATTTGCAAAAAATTACCACTTTTTTGTATAGGAAGCATTTCGAATGCCTGAAAACATGAGAGAAATATTAAGAAGGTTTTCCTCTCATGCAAGGAGTAGCCCAAAGCTCCAAATATCTGGAGCCCAAACATACCTTATCCTGATTTAAACTTCTGACTGCTTACTGGTCTCCTTTATTCTGCTATGAACAGGCCACATTCTACTACTAATGTCCTGTTTTAATCTTTTGAAGTTATAAGTTAATATTGCATTTTGCACGTAGTTTCCCCCAAAGATCACCCATTGATTACTTTTCTTAAAACAATGAGAAACAGAGAGAGAGAATATCAGCAGGGTGCAGTTCTCAGAATAAAAACATTTGAACCCCTTCATTTGTATCTCGAATTTCAAAACATTATTAACCATACACACCCTTTGTTCTCTGTATCTTCCTTTGAGCTTGTTCTAATTCAACCGTTATGATAAATGAACCAATCCAGTTTTGGAGCCTTGCTGTCAAATTGGCTATCTACAGCTTTATTGTTTACACACCACTTTTCCTCAGAGGAGCCCAAAACCATTCTTACACACACACCCTTCTTCTCTTCAGTGACTGTTCTACTCTGCATACTGCTTCTCCTTTCATTTTTCAAAGCAAAACAGTGAGGGATGCAAGGCTGAAGAAGAGTGACTGGTTCAAGATCACCAAGTGGAGTTCATAATTGTGTAGGCCCATAGATACAAACCAGGGAACCACACTGGCTATCTGTTGCTTGGTGACACTTTCAGTGTTGATCCCCCCCCTTCTAGATTAATAACTTGCGCAGAAAGAAGCATCTTTTCTGTGTCTCACAAAATCTGTTTCTTCCTCCTCTTCAGAACAACGGCATGTAGACTGTGATTTTGAGCCAAATAGCTCTCAAAGTGATTCACATAACGGAACACAATAATCAAATCTGCAGTAAAAGATAACAATAAAGAAAAACTCAGTTAAAACGGTAAAGGCAAAGCCACATAAAAGAAACGGTAGAACCAAGTAAAACAGTCAATTCAGCAACAGATAAAACTGTGAAACAAACATTGTAAAGGAGTGAATAAAACAAGACCATATTTCAGGTTCAGCAGGAAAGATTTGCAATGCATGGCAAAATGGGGTGCAGAAGGAGGTGCTCTCCTAATGCTTAACAACGTTGTAAGCAGAAGACAAAATATTGAAAATATAACCAAGTGAGATGGGTTATTGTGTCTACCTCATATACTGAGTTTGCGTGTTTGTGGCTGGATGAGTTGTGGAAATAAATTTAACTGGTTTCAAGATCCTCTCTAGAATGTCTTACATTAGGCCATCCAAGACTCATTGCTTCAAATATTAACATGCTCACAACACTCGCCGAATGCTTTGTATGCATGAAATTGGCCATACCTTCTTCTTCTTCTTTAAATGCAAACAGCTAAAATCCATACAGGTGGAAAATATGTCTCCTTCTCCCCAGTTTATCCTCTCAATAGCCTTATGAAGTAGCATAGACTGAAGAAAAAGGGATAAGCTCATGATCACATACAGTAGTGGTTCCCAAACTTGGGTCTTGGACTCAGCCTCCCAGAAGACTTCATCACCAGCTGTGCTGGCCAGGATTTCTAGGAGTTGTAGTCCAAGAACATCTGGGGACCCATCTGGGAAGCACTCAACTAGAGAGTTTCATGGCTCAGTGCGCGCTAGAAGGCAGAGCTTCCAGTCCACCGCTTCAACATATATATTAACTTGAAGAATTTCTAAAATGAGTCCTGGAACTGGAGAAGAAACTGCTTCGATCTCCTCCACACCCCATCCCCAGTCCCTTCTACACTAGGAAAACCTATTGTTTGGGCTATGATGACTGACAAGGGAAGGTATAATCGTGCTGGATCACACAGCTTAATGAAAATGTCAACCTAGTATACAGCTGCTGAGAGAAAAGCAAATTTCATGTTAGGGTTCATTAAGAAATGAAAAGAGAATAAAGCTGCTGGCATCAAAATGTCTCTATACAAATCTGCAGTACGAGTGGCCATGGAGTATAGTGTATAGCCCTGGTCATGTGACATGGAGATAATTATTGTGAAACTGGCCAAGCACAGAAAATGAATGGGGCTCAGGAACCTCAGACACAACCTTAACTCTTGTGTCTTCAGATTTTAAGGGGAAAAGGCAATGGAGGCATGATCAGAGTATATGAATGTTTCTGTTGTGTGAAGCAAATGGACAGAAGAGGGTTTTTTCCCCTTTCTCCTTAACGTGAGAGCCTGGGGACCTCCCACAAAGATCAGAGATTCAAGATGGTTTAAGAATTGAGGCATCTGGCTGCAGAACCAGAGGCTGGGAGTTCAATTCCCCAGTCTGCCTCCTTGAAAGTAGCTGGACTTGATGATCCATACGGCCCCCTCCAGCTTTGCAGTTCTAAAGTTATTATTAGGTGATTATTCAAAAATACCAAATACAGTCAATAAGTAATTATAAAAACATTGACTGGCATTATATAACAGATTCAAATTTTCTATGATGATGATGATGATGAAGATCATGTTCCACAATATGTGGTGGTGTTTATCAGTCTATGCTGCTTTAAAAGAAGAACAGAAGATCAGAGAAATTTATAGAGGTTCAACATAAATTCCTACTAGTCATGATAGCTAATATATATTATCTCTAGCATCAAAGACTGAATCCCAATTTCTGAGTAACAAAAGCTGGAAGGATGCTACATTCACATCCTGTTTGTGGACTTTATTAAAACAACAACCATCTTAGAATAGCAGAGCTGGAAGGGAATCAAACTCCCAACTTCTGGCTCTGTAGCCACGGACCTAACCACTGAGCTATCCAGCAGGTCAAAAGCAAAAAAACAAAAAACAAAAAACAAACCTTCTATATGGATTTTGTCCTAAAGTTCACCGGGAATGGGAGAACTTTAGGCTAAAAAGCACGAAACTTGTATTCCAAAATGTAGTTTGAGATGTTCTTTGAGTTGAATTGAAAAATTTAGATGGGTGCAAAAAAAAAGAGAGGGAGGGGGAGAGAGAGAGAGAGAACAGAACAAGCAGCCGCAACAACCATATTGTGCTCTCAAGTCAGTTTTGACATACGACAACCCTTTTTCTGGGTTTTTTAGATACAGAGTAATCAGAAATGGTTTACAGTTCCCTTCTTCAGGGGCCATCCTGAGACCGTACAGCTTGCCCGCGGCTACACAGGCTGGTACTTTTCCTAGAAAACACAGTGAGAAATCAAACCCTCAACGTCCAGCTCCGCACAGAGACCTCAACCACTGAGCTGGCTAGAACAACACAACACATCACCCAAAAAATTAAAACAAATAATAATCAAGAATAAGTGCTTTTCGATCTGTTCACCCTTCTGGGAAGCATGGATCAAGCTGATCCTTTAAAAAAAAGAAATGTGGATTCAGCAACATCCTTGAGCATCCCTAAATAATAATAAAGAGGTACAATGGGAAGGATTTCACGGGTAGACCTTGAAGAGACCTTCCAGAAGATCCCACCTCACGTAGATCTCTGGCCTGACGGTGTAAACAGGCTTCACCTGTTCACAGCTCTGAAGAGGAGCTTATTTTACCTGCCATTACACGCTCTGTGGTGGCAGATGGAGCTGATTGCTACCACCTGGAATGGCATCTGCATTTCTCGCCCGGCACTACTATATTTAGCAAATGACTGGGCTTTCCTCTCCCCCTCCGCCATTTCAAGGGAAGCCAAGCTGCTGGAGGAAGCTTTCCTAATGGAGGTAATGATGCTCATTTCTATCAGCTGGGCTAGGAAGCCATTTCAACTACAGTCAATTAGTCTTTTCCTTCCAACACCAGGGAAAGAAACCACACCTTCTCTGTAAAGCTGCTTCACCAAGACCCTCAGCGTTCCTTCCTGTGTTTGGAAGGAGTATTTGTTAGAGATTTGGTAAGTCCTTGGTACCAAGTCTGAAGTCCCTCTTACAAATAAGCCTTCCCCCCCCCTAGAAAAAGAGAGATACAGGTGGGTTCTGTGTGTGGAGGTCTAAAGCTTGTTAACCACCCACCTTTGTTCCCACCTGTCCTGTTTGTTTGTTTCTTTGTTTATTCAATTTTTACCCTGCCCCTCTAGACAATGTCTACTCGGGGCGGCTTACATAGATAAAAACACAACAGTATAAAATGTATAAAATCATCAAAAATAAAATTATAACAATCTATATGTTTGCCTCACCTCCTCTCACTCCCTCACCCCTTCTCCATTCTCCCAAAAAACCTTCCCTCCCAATCACTACCTCCTCCTCCACCATCCGCCTGCCTAAACAATGCAGGATATTTAGCACACCTTATTTACTTGGTGAAACATATGAATCTTACTTATCAGAGCCATAGGTCTGGATGGCTCAGAAGCTTGTGAAACCTAATGTTATAAACATAGTAGGGCTAATTACATGGAATCCCAAGATTTTTTTTTTAAGGGAATTATTTTCCTTTAAATGTCAAATTTATAATTTGCAGGTGAAGGCAGGTCCACAGATTTTTATTACAATTGCATGACATTTACCCAAAGTAAAGGCAAAGTTGACTCTTCTGGTTCTAAACCACATGCAAACAAATCTTAGTGAACTCTTTAAAAACAGCGGAGGCGAAGGAAAAGAGAAAATAAATCAACTCCATGTTTAAATACATAGAATTAATTTATCAATTAGTATTAGAGAGGATTGATATTAATACACTATAGGGAACATGGCAGGGATGTGTTAGTCTTGCAAAGGGAGATCATTTCAGATTAATGCCGTGGTTCTGGTATAAAGAACGTTTCCAATAAAAGCCAAGATATACTGTAGGCATTCTGAAGTGGTTGTATAATTTTGCATATTCAACTGTATATGTCACTGTCTTCCAAGACTCCAGGCGAAGATTTGTTTTCCAGTTTTCTTTTATGCTCTGTTAAGATGCCGGAGAGCTCAGCAATACATAATGATTATTATCCTTTAGGAGTGGTCTCTGGATCTGGGTGAATCAAACTGCACTGATTCAAACAGATTCTGGAGATGCCCATGCTGAAGTGGGACTCCTTCAAAGAGTGACTTCTCATGAGTTATGATTTAGTTTTAAAGGACATGGAGACATAATGTCAAAAAAAGATGATCCATGCAGCACGTTTTCAGAAGGGGTGCTCTCTCAGGTGGCAAAAGGCATTAATTTGTCATAGCCCCTGATTTTCATCTGTTGTGTATTTAAATAATAGCATGCTTTGTTTAGTGATAGGAAATGGAAAGGAAACACTGGGTTAACTTGGAAGCCTGACTGGTGAAACAAATAAAAACTCTGTGAGTATCTATTGTTGGAGGGAGGGCTTGTTTATCAAAGGGAACAAACCTTCCCCTATACATTTAATTTGACCCACAGACATTAGCCCTCTTCAGTCATTATAGAATCCATCATTGTCAACACACTGGGTTTGCAGGAGGGGGAAGGAGTTATCTTTTTCTCTGTGGGAGCAGTGAGAAGCCTGAGATAGTCATGCCCATGGGAAAGGTCTACATGCAAGCAACAACCTCAAAATCTGGGGTTTTTGGTCTTTTAAATACTGTAATGTTTTTTCACTTGATAACTGAACAACTTCAGCATTTTTAAGTTATTCATTGCTCCCACCATCTCCAGAAACAGTTAGCTTTCTATAGAAAGCTTCCTAAGGAAAAGATTTGTTTGTTTGACTGTTTGATTCTTTGTTTGATTGATCAGTTGATTGATTGATATACTACCCATTTGGCCTACAGCCACTCTGGGTAGTTAACAACAGAAAATAGCAACAAAGACAGATCACAGAGTGCAACCAAACAGCAAAATAAAATAAAGAAATATAAAATAACAATACTCAAAACGATTTTGAAATACGTTGTAAGGTAGAAAGGAAGGGGTGTAAATTCTGAAAAAGCAGAGTTGATCCATAAGGAAAAACGACAAGGACGGCAAGCACAACAGACACTATCCATAATTAGGCTATAACTTTACTAGAGTCATGCAAAATGTCACAACTTAAGAAGTGTGGTTTTGAATTCTGTCAAACCAAGGGAAATGAAAGAAAAAAAATACAGCTTGCCTTGCTAATTAAAAAGAGAAAAGGGCCCCTGCATTCAATCACAAATGTAAAATAGAAATCATGGGAAAGGCAGCAGACGTGTACTGCACTCTACAACATCCTACTCTCAAGTAAAACATATTTATTTCAGTGGGGCAGAGTCCCAGGTCAGTGTGTGAGTAGGGCTGCAGCCTTCATGAATCAGCTGGCATGAGATTCTTGAGAGGTTTCATACAGTAGGTGATTTATGACATAAGAAACTTAGGCAAGTGTCTTCCAGATTCCATGCAGTTCCTTATTTTCTAAATGTTAAATCCAGATCTTACTTAGATCAGTCTCTCCAACCTGGCATGTGATAGCAGAGCGCAAGACAGCTTCACATCTCACTTTTGTTTTTGAAGGCGCTGAAAGGCACACCCTGGTAAGAGCTTACATGCACGTGCATTTGTGGATGCCACGCTGACTAGAATCGTAGAATCATAAACCAATTGTGCTGGAAGGGCCCCATAAGTCCACTGAGTCCAACCCCCTGCTCAATCCAAGTCCAAGCAGATCTATCAGATGGGTGTCCAGTTTTCTCTTAAGTGCCTCCAGCATTGGGGCACTCACCACCTCTCGAGGTCATTAGTTCCATTGTCTGTCAAGAGATTTTTTCCTGATATTCAGCCTAAATCTGGCTTCCTGTCACATGAGTCCTGCACTCTGGGATGATTGTGAACAGATCCCACCCCTCATCTGTAGGACAGCCTTTCAAGTATTGGAAAAGATCCCATCTTCCCTCCCCCCATCTTCTTTTCTCAAGACTAAATAGGCGCAGTTCATCCAGTCTTCCCTCATCCAGGCATGAACAATTACAGTTTACAGCACCACGGGCATCAGGCAATCTTGTTTTCCTGGCTCCTGTTTTTTGGCTTGCGATTGTTGCAACCAGGGTTGGCGTTTGTTGAACCCTCTCCACTTTTTTAAAAAAAAGATTGCCGTGAAGGAACAATATGATGCGTAATGTGTCAGGGCTTTGTAGGAAAGAGAAAACACCGCCACCAATATAAGTGAAAGCCTATGGCATGGGCTTCCACCACTGACAGCTGATAAGCTACTCATTTTACATTATGGTCCACTTTGGATGTTTTCAGCCATTAAAACCTTAGTTGTGTTTGATTTCCAAGCTTTCCAACTGCATCTGTTCCTCCACGTTGTTTAGAAATGTTTGCTTGCTGAGTGAAACTTGCATCTTTCTTTCCATTTTTATGAGCTCAAAATAATTCCCCTTATCTCTGATTCATCCTCACAACAATCCTCCCAGTTTACTGGATATGTAGTTGTCTCACTGGTCCATGGTCACCCAAAATGCTCTGATGGCCCATTGGGGGAATTGAACCTATCCGAGCCCACCACTTTGATCGTTACAAAATTCTGTCTTACGAATGACAGCAAGATCACCCCGAAACCACACTCTAGCTCGCTGGCCCCATTTTTCAGCTCCTCTGAATGCCAAGCATAACAAAACCCAGCTCAATAAAGCACCATGTCTATTTTATAGTCAGTGCCCTTTGTGTGGGAAAGAGTGTGGTGGATAAATCAGAGGGCTGTTCTGGGTTGAGATTTGAATTGAGCCTCTGAATAAAACTCGGTTATTGATTGCTAGATTTCCAATTTGCCTCCGGGCTTTTTATACAGAGTCTTCAAGACTACTGACGGAAGATTCTCCTGCAGCATCTATTTCAACGCAAGGAAAAATAACAGATAAACCTACATAAGCTTATATGAGCTCTAAGTCCCGTGCTGGGAGTTTTACGAAGACGGAAGTTTTGTTATTGTTGTTAAACTGTCAAGATATTTGCTTTTGCAAACCACTTTGAAATGTTATCGAGAGCAATGGTTCCCTTGCAGTGCTTTGTATAGAAAGCTAGCACAGCTCTTAGGTGAGGCAAAAAGTACAATTCTATCTCAACTAGCTTCAGGATACCAGAGGTAAACCTTTTATTCTTAACGGGTAAATCCATCTCTAGATCTATGTCCACCATTCCAAAATCTTTCAGCCTCACTTTGAATGAGGAATTCTTTTTCTGCTGGAAGAGCTTGACAGCAGAAAAGCAACTTTCCTCCCCTGACGTCGTTTGCTAATTAGGTTGCTTTGTTTTGTGGCTGGTCTTCGGGACCTAAGTATGGGATTTCTTTGAAGTCTTGATTTCCCAGACACCAAAGTCCACCTGAATCATGTCGTCTTTAATAATAACCCACTGACTAGTTGTGATGTCTCTTTCTACCCTGAATATTACACTACAGACACAGCTCCATTCTCCCCCCCCCCAAAAAAAAGGTGTCAAATAATAATAATAAAATAAAATTTAAAAAGTGTTTACAGGGCCCCTGTCACACTAGCTTGCTACCATTTTAACGGTGGTTGCTTCGACTGTGGTGCCTGTCACACTAGCTTGCTACCATTTTAACAGTGGTTGCTTCAACTGTGGTGGCTCTAGAGAATCCTTGCATTTAGAGTTTGGTGAGGTACTTTGAATTCTGTGCTGAAAGTTCTAGCACTCTGTAGTCCTCAAACAGTTGCACAGAATTCTAATTTTCTTCTTGAATTAGAAATGCTGGATTTGCATAGAAATTCATTAAGCAAGATTAATCTGTTATTGCTGTATCATGTAGAGCAGTGGTTCCCACCCATGGGTAGCCCAGGTATTCCTGGACGGCAGCTCCCCAAAACACCAGGCAGTGCAGCGAGTAGCGAAGGCTTCAGAAAATTGCAGTCTAAGAACCCTCGGGTGACTGAAAGTTGGGAGCCACTGGTGTAAATGCATCCGTTTTTCTCTCCACATGATCTTGATGCACGGAGATGAACAAGAGAAGGCAGCTTGTGCGAGTGATGACCCAAGTCCCCCCGATCAACCTGGTTTTAAGCACATGTGCTTACCAGATTCATGCACACCCATTCCCGTCGTGCCGTCACTGGAGGAACCCTTGCCAGGGGCTGTTCTGGAGCGGCCAAAACCGAATGTCACAGAGGAGCAGCCTATACTGCAGGAGCTTGAAACAAATCAGGGAATCTGGGCCCCTCAGGAAAGAAAGCAGCTGAACCGTTTCCCCTAAGGTTTAGGTGCCCCTTTTCTGAATTAGATGAGCAGCTGAACAGCCCACCGTCCTCTGGAGAGTTGACCTTAACTGACTGAAGCACTGCCATCAGTCAGCCAAAAGACAAAGTCTCCATCTAATGAATGACTGCTTATGACCAAATGCTTTATCCTGGCAGAGAATGCAAACCCCAGTGAGATAAATGAGAACGACGCCCCGATATGTTTGTTTTTATTTTATTTTTTAACAAGGGTGGCATCATGCAGCCCACTGCAACTTACAAAAAGCTATAATATCAATTTCTGTGCTTGAAAGCTGTTTAGATTTTAAAAAAAGCAAGCAAACAAAAACAGAATCAAAGACGCTTTGGGCAAGAAAACCCTTTTAAAACAATGGGAATTATTTCATCGTAACTCTTCTCTGTAAATGCAAATACGGCTCTAATTTTCTTCCCTCCTAATTAAATGCTTTCATCCATTTCTTTCAAGAAGGACATCATGCAAAAGGGATGAGAAAGCCCCGTTGCGATTACCTCTTTTTCAACCATTTCTGTTTTCTAAATGTCACTTTTTGAGATACAAGTGGTAAGCTTCAACGAGTAACTTTTGTTTTGTTTTCTTGAAGTGAACTTTATTTCCTACTAAGAATGACAGAGGCTACTGCTTCTCCTCGGGGAAACTCACTGCAGTCATTTACTTGAAATTTTGCCCTTGTCCATTGTCCATCTCCTGGGAAGTTGGCATTGATTCCAGGCCCACTTACAGAAAGAGCTACCCAGGAATTAGTTCATTATTGTTGTTTCCAGAACTGTGTTGCTGGCTGTGGTGACCTCTGGGAGAAATCCTGGCTTCCTGCCAAGGGAATGGAGAAAAGCTAACCTTCACTAAAGGTCAGCTCCCCAATCACTCAAGATGTGAACTTAAAAGAACAAATGTTGATTTAGCTAGCAACGGGACCTATGAAGAGCCAGCTTCCAGAAGCTGAGTCTGGAGGAGGATTCTTAAGAGGCAAACTACATGTTACACTGAATCGAGTGGGAGGCAACTCTGTATTTTCTTGATTACTCCAAAGAAAGTGAGGTGCATCCTCATGTGGACTGTGCCATCTTACATGAGATGGTGGAAGTGGGTTTGATCCTTCCTTCTTTCCCTGCATCTGTTCCAAGACCTTTAGAGATTTCATCAAGGGGTTTAAAAAATCATCTCCACTGGAGCTAACCATGGCTCTTTCACTTGTCTTTTTTTAAACAGCCCTGAGAGGACAAATTTTGAGAGCCGTCTCTGGGAGAGGGAAGAATTAAGTTTCCCTCTTCCTGTGAAGGAAGATCTATTGCAGGAGAGACCCAAAAGCCAGTGGCTTCTAGCATTCCGATTTCAAAACAAATAATAAAGAGAACTATTTTAGAATGGAATTTTAACAGGTTAAAATAGCCAAGGACGAACTGACCCAACACTAGTACAGCTGGAGCTGTGATGAATTTCAGCCCCTCCAGTATAGGGATTCCAGAAACTACTTAGCACTACAACTGGCCTGTGTTACACCAGTTCTGTGTCTCTGGCCCCAGACTGGAAGAGTCTGGTATCTTGGCTCTTCTCTCATTCTGTGTTTGCTCTGCTTTTCTGCCAGCATATCCTAGCCAGCAGAGCAGGTCTCTGAAATCAGCCAATAGAAGATGGATCTGCCAAAAGAAGGGCCCTGTGGCTAGTCCATCATTAGGTTAAGATTGCACTACCCATTACTTTTGAGAACTGGAAAAGTAATTAGTTGCTTTTAGACTAAATTTTAACTATGGGGTCAACTCTTTTTAATGTGTAGATTATAACTATAACTCATGACTTTTCTAAAAATTGCTTTCCAGCATCTGAGCAAAACTTCTGGGAAAGATTGTAGGTAATGGAAAGATCTATAGCAATGGTTCCTATCCTTGGATTTCCATATGTTCTTGGACTAAAAAAATCCCAGAAACCTTCACCACTAGCTAGATTGGCCAGGATTTCTGGGAGTTGTAGTCCAAGAACATTTGGGGACCCAAGGTTGGGAAGGACTGACTTGTATTGTCAACTGCAGTTGGGAATTATTGCACTGAATGACTGGTTTGGTTTTTAAAAATACATTACAAATTCAGCTAAGGAAAGAGAAATGAACATTTCTCATTCATGATGTAGTCTATAGAAATGTGGGCACTGAATTCGGATCATATCATAATCTGGTGGGTGATAAATGGTCTGCTAGGTTGCTGTGCCAAACTCCATAACATTTGAGGCTTTGGACTTTGTAAACATGATGCCAAAAGAGAAGGAAGCATGAAACAAACAAGTGGAACTCAATGCAACTCTTTCTAAAACTTATCTCAAACTGAACTTGTGGTCCCTTTCCTTCAGTTTCCTGGCAGTTATGGTATTTTCCTGATTCCACATTTCTCAACAAGCCCTCATGGGAGATTTTGGCTATCATTCCAGGCTCATAGAATTATTGATTGCTACTCACTGTTTTTGCCCTGGAGAAAAACATATTCAGCAAGATTTTATCCCCATTTTACCAAATGCTGCAGCATGTGTGATACAGAAAACATTTCAGCACTATGGATAGCATCATAAAACTCTTGACAGTGGAGCATCATGACTCTAAATTTCCCACCATGCCTGCTACTGTCACACAAAACTTGACAATCACTCGGTGCCATGGATGGAGATCTAAGATGTGGGCTTCTCTGGTCACCACAGGAGAATGCAAAATCAAACGAGAATGGGCTATAACATGGGTGGCTGTTGTTGAAAACTGCTGTTATGTCTTTGCAATGTTAGTAGTAATTGTATATTCACCAATCCATCTACCAAATGACAGGAAAATGTAAAGAAACATAGAAGACATGGAGGCCCCTATGATGGGAACTTCAGTTGTTCCCATGAGTGATTTATTAAAGATTTATTTCTTTTACTACACAAATCCATTGTTGGCCTCTAAAAACAGGAAGGAGATGGAAGAACAAAAATGCATTTGGACAGATGAAGTTGATTTCCTTGATTCATTTTAAAGCTCAAGTTCTTTTAAACTTCTTTATAAATCAGCAATATTGGTTAGTCCATATTAAAAAATAAACAAAGGGTATCAAATTCTCCATCGTCCTGACTCTTCCTTATATTAAGGCTATGTCTGGCTTATTTACTTAACAAACAGTCACAACTTTACTCCCCTTTTTCATTCAGGTTATGACACAGCAGTAGAAAAAGCCTACACACTAAATCGTTCATTCTGATTGATATAGGCCAGATGAGGAATTCCCACTCAAGCAGAAGAGTCAAAGAATGTTTTTTCCCCCTCATCAAGGATTTTTAATTCATGCAAAACTAGCAACACAGAGAGAGAGATATTGAGAGAGAGAACCTAAATGGGACCTTGATGCTACTGCTTTTTCAGTAATGCATATAGAGGGTGTTTATTTGCAATATTTATGCCCCACTTTTCTCCTCAAGAAGACCCAATAGCTGATTATATTCAAATAATATTAAAGGAAAATTTGAAGTAGAATTAAGGAAAATCAAATTTAAAAATTACTATATTAGAAAAGAATAAAACAGATAACCAGTTAAAAACTAGGGTTCAAACTAGACTTAAAACGTTCTAAAAATGCCTTGTAACTAACCAAAAGACAACAGCCCTGTTTTTAAGACGGCCAGTTACTGAGAGGAAGCCTGCCTGGAATGATTGGGTCTTTGTCAGCTTGTGGAAGGGAGAAATGGAGCCAGCCTGACTTCCCATGGGAGGGAATTCCACCACTTGAGAATAGCAAAAGAGGAGGCCATATCTTGCATCTTCACCAAACACACCTCTGAGGATGGTGGAGCTGAATTATCTTTGGGCTCAAAATTTCACACAGCATCAAAACAGCCACCTGCAAAATGGGTGTCCCTTTTTATTATCTCTACATGGGGAAACATTTTAGGGAACTTAGAACTGTGAAAATGATATTTCCCTCTTCTTTTTCTCCGCTGTAAGGCGAGCCATCTTCTTGCCCTTCTCTCTACATTCTTTACATTCTTAATTTTTTTAAAAAAGAACTTCGGCTTTTTGTAAAATAGTGATAGCCACTGCAGATTCTTAGTATTCCCAGAAAGAAATATCTTCAATGACTACATCTTCATTTCTCCAAAGTACAATGGTTAAAGCTGGCAATAATGTCCAAATACTTTTGCAAAGATGCATCAAAATGAGCAGCTATTCAGAGAAAGAGTCTGGCGATTTCAGAATATTTAAAGCCTATAAATAAATATTCATGGCTTGCTTTACTTCACTGAGAACCAATATTATATATATTTTTTCCCCTTTTCTCAACAGAGCAGAACGTTTCTGGGCTATCTCAAATTGAAACAGTCTGCTGGAACCCATCCGTACAGCAATTTGAAATGAGCTGCTCTGGATGCTGCGGAGAACAGCCAGTGGTAGGTTCATTTCCTTCTGCATTTCAAATCAGTGATAACCGAGCAATATTAATCATGCAAGAACATGCCTGCATAAACCTAAAATGGCCACAGTGCATTTGGGTGATCTGAGGCTCCCTGATTACCCGATTTGCTTGCTCGTTTAAGGACTGCTGGTTGGGATGTATTGTGTAGGAGCAACATGGAGTCTAGTAAGTCTAAGAGAACCATGGAGTCTCTGAGTTGGGGCCATGTATAAATATTTGCCATGTAGTCCCACTCTTACATCTGAGGAAGTGGACTTGTCCACGAAAGCTCACATTAAAACACAGTAGCTAGTCTTTAAGGTGTCTTTAACATCTCTATCTTTTTAATTTTTATTTTGTGTTTGCCAGATACAGTAAGGTGTTGTCTACCAATTCTTTTTTCATTGTGCAAGAGGTTTAGGGACCAAACTGGTTCTTTAGACCAGCTTTGAGGCAACTTCCTGGTTTGTTGATGGATTCACATTCTCTCTGTATAAATGTGGTATCCATATCTGAGCTCAGTTTTTTTTTTAATCTAGTTCTGAGGTTTTTAATGGATTGTTTTATGATTTCTCTTAGTTATCTTAGACTATCAGGATTAATAGAAAGGTGTAACATATTCTCTCTACCTCACAAAGAAGAGGTAAAAGCCAGGAGCTGGATAGTTTATTACCTTGTAAACCACGTACTGTTGAGAGCCTCAGACTAAGCCAAGTAGAATGGTAGAGCAGTGTTTCCGTATCTTCCATGGAAAGTGAATTGAGTTTTTGAGTGCAGCAGGCATGAGACGAACCATCTGGGTACCTAATTTTAATTGGCTTTAGTAGCTGAGTGGGATCCAACAGGTGCCATCAAGAAATTAAACTGACTGTGGCCAGTTAGAAGAGGGAACAGGGTCTCCTGGCCTACTTCATTTGATCCCTCTGTGCGTATAGGTATGTGACGTTGTGAAGCCAAAGAGAGAGAGAGAGAGAGAGTTGATTTATGTGCAACATGTTTTCTCTTGTGATTAGACATAAGGAGGTGAACATGATTTGAAAGTCTGGTTGCTTGATACACGTCTCTGTGCTAACAACTCCCCCCCGTGAGCTTGTTTCTTGGGAGCAAACAGCCCACAAATACTTCCTTTTTTCTACTGTTATTTCAACTTGCATGTAAGTTTCCTCTTCAGCAAGCTTGGGTAGATTGTTAGGCACTCGAAATGTTCCCCTCAATTCTTGTTACAGTCATACTGGTATCATTGGCATGCACTTGGTTAAGCATTATCCCTGAAAGGTTTTCTGTACTCTGATCTTGTCTCTCTCAGGTGATATTCTTCAAGAGGTTTTTCTGCCATGAGGCGATTGGGGGAAGCTTTTCTCCTATTAAGCCTGATGACTTCTGTGGATTTCGCACTTTCCTATAAAATTCGGTTCGTTTTTAAATTACACACACAAACACACACACATATACTGGAGGGGGGAAGGGGGAAATGATCTCTAACAGAGGACTGGCAAATATTTTGCCCAGGTAAGTTCAGTTTCATTTCTCCAAAACTCACCTGCATCTTTTGGGTTGCAAGATGTTTTTTCTTCCTCTTCTGAAATCCATACACTTTTTAAAAAAGTTTTTCTGACTGCACACATTTATTTAATGCATTTTATCTAATTTATTCACTTTTCCCATTTACTACACTGTGTTGTTTCAACTGTAAGCTACTTGCCTTTTAAAGCAGGTCCACCATTTTATATGTGCTTGATTTCTCCAGACTACCCTGTAAACCTCATTAATGTGTGGATTCTGAGCTGTGTTCTTGGTAGCGACAAACCTTAGGAAGTTCAAAAATGTTAGGTTTATCGAGATGGTCAATTTTCTGTTGAGTTTAGGATCCACCTCATCCAGTACAGTCAACAAAGCCTTATAGGAGTTAAATTCCCAGTGTGTTATAGTGGATAGTGTGATGGACTAGGACTCTTAAGAATGGGGTTTGAATCCCCACTTGCCTCATAAATGTGTGGATTCTCAATACGAGCTGTGTTCTTGGTAGCAATGATCCAAAAGAAGTTCAAAAATGTTACTTTTATTGAATAATTCAACTAACAGTTCTTGTCTATCCTGAATTTAGGATCCACCTCCTAGCAACTTTGGCCAGTATGGCCAACAGGGTATTACAGGAGTTAGATTCCCTCTGCAGTATAGCTGATAGAGTCACAGACTGGGACTCTGCAGAACAGGGTGCAAATCCCTGTTTGGCCACAGAAACTCACCCCAGGGGGAGTGGATCTGGCAAAACGACTCTTTAAATATCTCACTAACCTTGAAAACCTTATTAGGGTCACTGTCACTCTGTTCTGACTTGACAGCATAGAACAGCAACAACAGTCTCATGTGGCAGGAGAGCAAAGGGTTCCTGATCTTGATGGCCTCATGAAAGGTACCCAACCTAAATATGAAAATACTTAGCAGAGTTGCTTTAAAAAAAGCATTATGTTTAGCATATGTATTTGAACCATGGAGGCTGGGGCAGACTGTTAACATTGTAAAAGATCTTCTCGGTATTCAACAGCTTGTTTAGCAGCAGATTGGTTCGTGATCTAGCGATGCCATTAATCTTTTTTTATTAGCACCTTAAAAATAAACAAACAATGATTCTGCCGTGTTTGACACAAGGAGTGCATTTTAATTGCGTATGTTTCTATTACTGGCTCTTTAAAAAAATATATCTCTGCAACAATTCTGATTCAAATAGTTCATTCCATTCCTCACAAACCCGCATTTGGAATGATAACAACATCTGTGTGCATGGTAAATGAAAGAGTATTAATGCTGTTGCTTCCACATGGTGCAGAGCATTAACCAGTAAAGTTTGTTTTAATTAATGGTGAAGGGGAGAAATATTTATCACTCATTTTCCTGAATTAAAGGTAGACTGTATCTAGACTACCTTTTCCTTTAAAGCATACAATGATTTCTTTTAAAAGATCCTTTTAGATTTATTTTCATTCTCTTTATTACACAGCTTTATTGACAACGAATGGTGTTCAAGGTGGCTAGCGGAAGATAAATCAATTTTAAAAATCAAAATAAAGTCAAAATAAAACATAATTATTTCAGGATAAAACACAGCGAACAACCAGTCAATGCCTCCCCGTGCGCCCCCGTACAACAGCAGAGCTTAAACACTCAAAGCCTATTTAAATAGAAATATCTTTTCTAGCTTCTTTCTTTGCTCATGTCAGAAGCACTGCGGTACAATCAATAAACATATCAGATAATTTTCACTGAATAATGGATAAGGCCAAGAGCATGTGGAGCAGCCTCAAGTCTTCCTTGGGTCATGTTGAGGGGCATGGACAACATTGACATAGATGTGGAGCTACTTGTTCTTCTCCACTCTCACAAGGGACTGGTTTGATGTGAAATCCTGCTTTTGCCAGTTCACTTTGGTTCTACCTAGAGATGGGTATGAACCGCCAATTGGGTGGTTCGTGCTGGCTTGTTTTTCAGCCGAACAGGTGTTTGGTGGTTCCAAGCCCTGCCTCCTCAGGTCGGCGCCCACTCAGAGGTCGTGTGCAGAGGAGGCGGGGCAGGGAAACTGGGTGCTGCCTCTGAGTGGGGGTCCACCAAAGGAGGTGGGGCTGGGAAATGCTGAACATCTTTCCAGCTGAGAAACGAACCAGCACGAATTGCCAGTTCTTGCCCATCTCTACCAATTCCATTCCATAGCCTATTAAGTTACATCCAAGTCTCCAGTGTCTTTGCGTGGCTGGAGGCAAGACTTCCCTGGGGTTCCATCCATTTTAAGGAGGGAGTAGTTATTTCTTTCCATATCATAGTCCTGGCATTTTTCTGCTGCTCCTTCAAGATCCATACATGTTTTCAAAATAGTTCTCCTTGATTTTAATCTCAGAAGGGAAGGATGATAGCTGAGTGGATGCACATTGGATGTCGATGCTTTGAGTCTTTTTCTTGCTGGCAGATGCACATGAGGAGGGCCCCCAGCCTAACGTCTCTTGAGAGTGAGTTGCAGAGGCTGGGAGCCGTCAACAAGAAAGCATCCATGCTGTGTAAAAACCTGTAACAGGAACCTGTGAACACTGAACAGAAATGGAACTCAGAGAAAACATATTCTTTCTCTGAGAAAAGCCAACTCCCTTATATGAAAATACTTAGCAGAGTTGCTTTCACCACTTCGTTTTGTGGAAGAGTTTCCAGAGGGCCATGCCCACATTCCATATCAATCGGTTGCAACAAAATCAAGAGTCCAGCGCCACCTTGAAGGGCATCATAAGCTTTCATAAACCGAAACAGCCCCCCCATATCAGATACATGGAAGGGCATCCAAAAATGACCTGAAGTTCTGGATGATACTTTATGTCTTATGTGATGTTCTCAAGTGCAAATGGGATCCACGAAAGTCTAAACTCTCATAAACCTTTTAGTCTTTAAGGTGTAACAAAATTCTCTGCATTTCATGCAGCACTGTTACTCAGAAGAGCAGCTTTTGAGTTCAAGCTCACTCTTCTAAGTACGTCATGAGGATGGCGAATGTGGTAATGTCAATGATGTGGTTGCGTTCCTCTATGTCTGTCCTCCATGCCATGGAAAAGGAAGGAGACGTCAGAACACTGAATGTGTCCCAGAGGTTTCATGGCCACTGGTGCAGTACAACCTGCGCTCCTAGGGCTGAAATCCTGGAATTTCTGAGTATCAGGGCCCCCGCTGCTACCTCCACACCACCAGGCTTCCCTGGTGTCTCAGGACATAGTTGCAATCCTCACAGCAGCTGGAAGATGAACAGATTTTCCCAGGAACTATATATTCTTATGAGCTTTTAAATGGTATTTCCTCTTGAAAGTGCAACAAAGACACACTGTTCATCAGTTTAAAAGGACCGATTCTGCTGCCTTGTGGGGTGGTCATGCACCTCCAATTTTACCAGTGTATCACAAGCCATTATTTATTGTGTATTCCTTGCCTTTACATCTACTTTCCTTCCAATCAACTCAAGGTCAC